CTTTTGCTGTGACTCAGAGATTTTGGGTTGTTGTGTGTTCATTTTCACTTGTTTCCAGGAAGTTTTTTTATTTCTTTCTTGATCTTCTTGGTAACCCATCCATTGTTTAGTGGCATGCTATTTAGCCTTAATGTGTTTGAATATTTTTGGCTGTTTTTACTGTAGTTGAATTCTAATTTCATTCCACTGTGATCTGAGAAGATGCTTGATATGATTTTAATCTTCTTGAACTTGTAGAGACTTATTTTGTGTCCTAACATGTGGTCTGTCTTTGTGAATGATCCATATACACTTGAAGAGAATGTATATTTTCATCTTTGGCGTGAAATGTTCTATAAATGTCTATTAAATCCATATGATCTAGTGTGTCCTTTAGAGACACTGTTTCCTTGTTAATTTTTTGTCTGGAAGATCTATCCAGTGAAGTCATCGGGGTGTTAAATTCCCCTACTATAACTGTATTGTTGCCGAAACCGGTTTGGCTCAGTGGATAGAGCGTCGGCCTGCGGACTCAAGGGTCCTGGGTTCGATTCCGGTCAAGGGCATGTACCTGGGTTGCGGGCACATCCACAGTGGGAGATGTGCAGGAGGCAGCTGATCGATGTTTCTCTCTCATCGATGTTTCTAACTCTCTATCTCTCTCCCTTCCTCTCTCTGTAAAAAGTCAATAAAATATATTTTAAAAAAAACAACTGTATTGTTGTCAATCTGTCCTTTAAAGTTCTCTATAAGTTTTTGTTATCTATTTATGTGCTCTTATATTGGGTGCATATATGTTTACCAGGGTTACATCCTCTTTTGGATCGATCCCTTTAGTATTATGTAGTGACCTTTTTTATCTCTTGTGATGGTCGTTATTTTGAAGTCTGTTTTGTTGGATATGAGTATTGCTACTCCATCTCTTTTCTTTGCCATTTGCATGGAAAAATTTTTTCCATTCCTTCACTCTCATCCTGTGTGTATCTTTTGTTCTGAAGTGGGTCTCCTATAGATAGCATATAGTTGGGTCATGTTTTTGTATTCATTCAGCTACTCTATGCCTTTTGCTAGGAGCATTTAATCCATTTACGTTTAAAGTTATTATTGATAGGTACTTATTTATTGCCATTTTAATTCTGTATGCCTAGTTTTTCTCTCTCTATTTCTTCTTCTCATTACAGCAGTCCCTTTAGCATTTCTTGTAATGCTGGCATGGTGGTGATATACTCCTTTAGCCTTTTTTTGTTTTTTTGTGTGTGTTTTTCAGGAAGTTCTTTATTTGACCATCTATTTCAGTGGTTCTCAACCTACTGGCCCTTTAAATACAGTTCCTCATGTTGTGACCCAACCATAAAATTATTTTTGTTGCTACTTCATAACTGTAATGTTGCTACTGTTATGAATCATAATGTAAATATCTGATATGCAGGATGATCTTAGGCGACCCCTGTGAAAGGGTCATTCAACCGCCAAAGGGGTCGCGACCCACAGGTTGAGAACCACCTTGCTGGATATAGTAATCTTGGTTTCAGATCCTTGCTTTCCATTACCTTGAGTACTTCATGCATTCCCTTCTGGACTGTAGAGTTTCTGATGAGTAATTAGGTGTCAGCCTTATGGAGTTCCTTTATAGTTAATTGTTTGCTTTTCTCTTGCTGCCTTTAAGATTCTTTCTTTGTCTTTAATTTTTGGCATTTTAATTTTGATGTGTCTGGGCATGGGTCTGTTTGTGTTCTTCTTGCTTGAGCTTCTCTGTGCCTCCTGAACTTGTGTGACTTTCCTTTACTAATTAGGGAATTTTTCTGCTATTATTTCTTCAAACACGTTCTCTATCCCCTTCTCCCTTTCTGCCTCTTCTGGCACACCTGCTATTCAAATATTGTTATGTTTCACGTTGTCCCACAGCTCTCTTAAGCTGTCCTCCTGTGTTTTTTTTTATTGTTTTTTTTTTCTTTTTGGTTCTCCAATTGAGTGATTTTTTTCAACCCTGTCTTCTAATTCACTGATTCGATCCTCAGCTTCCCCTAACCTGCTGTGTTTCTTCCAATGTGTTCTTTATTTGTGCTATATCATTCTTTACTTCTTTTTTCATTGTTACTATATCTTTTCTCATGCTGTTGAGCATCTTTTCCATCATCATTCTGAACTCTGTATCAGATAAATTTCTTATCTCCATTTATCTCTTCTTCTGGAGAATTCTCATTTCATTTGGGGGTTGTTTCTTTGTCTCCTCATTTTGGCTGCCTGTTTGGGTTTGTGACTATGTATTAGGTAGCTCTGCTACACCCCTCAGTCTCTAGTGTAGGACAGTGTCAAATACTGTTTCTGTCTAATTAAATCAGGCAAAGACTCAAAGCCTCCAGAGACCACCTATGCTTACAGACTGTTAGGATTTCATCTTGAATTGCCCTCAGGCAGTTGTCCACTGGTGTGGCGAGTTTTTTTTCAACAGGATGGGGTAGTTGCTTCTGCCTGGAAGCTAATTGTTATTCTCAGTCTCCTATTGGGCCTCAGAAACTTCACACCGCGGGGCAAGTTATTTTCCAATAGGGTGGGTTAATTGTCTTCCCCCCCAGGCAAAGCTGCCTGTATAGCTAATGTCTACATGAGAAAAATGTCCTCTGCAGTGTGAGGGAATAACTCAGCACAGAAAACTGGAGTGTCTGCCTCCTGAACTCTAACCCCCGAGTCCTGATCCTAGCTTCTGCTCACACTACCAGTCCATTCTGCCCTCCCTCTGCCAGAGCACAAGGTGAGTGGCTCCTCAGGGAGTTTTGTGTGTTGGCCCTTTAAGAGGGTGCCTTAATTTCTAGCCATCAGTTCCTGACAGGCAGCAACCTTGCTGCTTTTCACAGCCAGATGTTATGTGGATGCCCTGACCAGGAATAGAACCCCTGTACGGGTCAGTGCTGCAACCAACCAAGCCATACTGGCCATGTCCTTTTTTATTAATCCTCACCTGAGGATATTCTCTCCATTGATTTTTTAGAGAGAGTGGAAGGGAGAAAGAGAGAGAGACATCAACGTAAGAGAGACACATTGATTGGTTGCCTCCTGCATATGCCCTTGACTGGGAATCAAACCTGCAACCATTCAGTCTACAGGATGACACTCTAAACACTGATCAACCAGCCAGGGCTCCATGTCCTTTTTTTATGCTGTTGAAATTCTAAGTTCCTTGAACATCCTTATAACCAGTGTTTTGGACTCTGCATCTTGTAGATTGCTTGTCTCCATTTTGTTTAGTTTTTTTCCTGGAGTTTTGTTCTGTTCTTTATTTGGGACCTGTTTCTTTGTCTCCTCATTTTGGTAGCCTCCCTGTGTTTGCTTCTATGTATCAGATAGAGCTGCTATGTCTCCCAGTCTTGGTAGAGTGGGCTTATGTAGTAGGTATCTAGTAGGGCCCAATGGCACAGTGTTCCTGTTCACCTAACCTGGACATTCCAGGTGCACCCCTTGTGTGGGCTGTGTGCACTATTCTGTTGTAATTGAGCTTTGATTGCTGTTGGCAGGGCACTGGGAGGGATTCACACACACACACACACACACACACACACACACACACACACACCGCCGCCCCCAGGCTACTCGGCTGCGAGAACCAGCTATAAGTACAGCAGAGGAGCTGCTGTGCAGTGGCCAACCCCACAGAACAGGACTCACTTCAATGGGGCTTTGGTGCCTGCTGAACCCACCCTTTGAGTGTGTCGCTTGTGAAGGTAGTTGGGTAATAATCCAGCATGGTATGAAGCTGTCCACCAGGTATGCTGTCTCTGGGGCCTCCTGGAAGGTGCATGGTCAGCCACAACCTGTGCCCTACCTGGGTCCACTGACATGAGCTACTGCAGATGGCTGCTACTTGTGCTGGGTTTGGATGTACCTGAGAGAGGCCAAGCTGCAAACCAAGTCTGGCTGTCGTTAATGCTGGGCCTGGGACCACTTAGCAAGAGATGCAGGATACAAAGAGGCTAGGTGCTGCTTGTTTGAGATATTTTAGGAAAGTCCAAAGCATGAGGCAAGAAAGCAAAGCCACTGGAAAAGGCTTTGGTGGGCCTGAAAGTTGGGAAGGGTGGGGTCTCAAGAAATCACCAGGACAGAGCAAACATTGTTAGCTTGATGGAGACTCAGATATGGCACCCACTTGCTGGCTCTGTGTGGCGAGATTTCAGCAAGGGAACAATGGCCTCTGCCACCACTTCTGTCTGGGAGAAAGCTGTGGTTGTAGGAAGTTTCAGCCCTTGTCCTGATGCCAGAGAATTTATTTTCTCCCCATATGTCCCCGATGCCTTTTGAGCTGCTGTCCCAGTGCTGAACCTCTGAGTGAGTGAGTCTGAGTAAGTCCATTTGTAGGCCCTTTAAGAGGAACCCCTGGGTCTTCAGCATCCTTTCTCTCACTCAGCCACAACCTCTGCTTGCTTTGACAGCCAGGAGTTATGGTACGTTTTCTTCCTGGCACTGGAACCCTGGGTTTGGGGGTTTGGTGTGGGACTGGACTCCTCGCTCCTCAGCGGGGAACTCTGCAGCCAAGGTATCCCTCCCAATTTTTAACTGCCACACGTGGGTGTGGGACTAGCCCCGTGGTCGGCAAACTGCGGCTCTCGAGCCACACGCGGCTCTTTGGCCCCTTGAGTGTGGCTCTTCCTAAGCCTTAGGAGTACCCTAATTAAGTTAATAACAATGTACCTACCTATATAGTTTCAGTTTAAAAAATTTTGCTCTCAAAAGAAATTTCAGTCGTTGTACTGTTGATATTTGGTTCTGCTGAGTTTGCCGACCACTGGACTAGCCCATTCAGTGTCTCTGCCTCTCCTACCAGTCTCGATGTGGCTTCTTCTGTGTACTTTTAGTTGTAGGACTTCTGTTCAGCTAGATTTCAGGTGGTTCTGAATGATGGTTGTTCTGTAGTTTAGTTGTAATTTTGATGTGGTTGTAGGAAGTTCCAAGTACCATGTTTACCTATCCCATCATCTTGACTGGCCCACCAGTTTTCTGATTCTTATAACTATCTTCTTTAAATTCAGCTCTGATGAACATACACCAGTAGAGGATGAAGAGCCAAAGAAAAGCACCACTTCAGCTTCTACTTCAGAAGGTATTATTTTAAATGTAGAGCTTTTTTATTTAGAAGTTTAAAAATAAGTTTATAAATAGTTGAACATTAGGCTTTACTTTTATTCAAATTGTCTATTACATTCCTTTTCAGTATTTCAAATACAGTAAAATTCATATTCAGTAATACTTCTTTAGAAGTTAGTTTTTATTTGTATTTTATGTAGAAGAAAAGAAGAAGAAGAAGAAGTCTAGTCATTCAAAAGAAAGGTCCAAGAAAAGGAGAAAGAAAAAATCATCCAAAAGAAAGCACAAGAAGTATTCTGACGATAGCGACAGTGACTCTGATTCTGAAACAGACTCCAGTGGTAAGAAAGTCAACATCATTCTGCAAGCCTCACTTCAAAACTACTTTTACTTCTTAAAGTTTATTTCAGAAGTAGGTTCTTAAAACAATAATAATAGTCAAGAGTTTTTTAACACTTAGTGACTTTGTGCCCAGCACCCTACTAAATGCTTGCTAATTAATCCACACAGTAACTGTAGGGTACATCTTAGAGATGGGGAAAGGGAGGCACAGAGCAGCTTAAAGTACCGCCCTCAAGGTCACACATTTTGGATTCAGACCTAAGCAGTGTGATTGTTTGTGTGTAGTTATACAAGGCCTGTGGCACTGAACCAAGTTGGGGTTGGGCTGCAAGGCGTGTGATGCCAAACCAAGCCATACAGGGCTGCATCAGCCCAGTGGAGCAGCTCTTTTGTGTAATTCTCACACTCAGTGGGAACCTTTGTGCAATTTTCAAAAGGTTACATATAAAGGTCCTCCATCAGGCTGGGAGCTGATTTAAGGAAGGAAGATACCCCCTGTGGGGTGACACATCAAAAAGCCACCTTTTTTTTGTGCCCAGTGCTGGCTGATGATTGACAGAGGGTGCCTCCTCTAAGGAGACATTACACAAAGGTGCCCCTTCCTCTCATGTTACCTGGGTTTCCTGGCCTCCATTGTCACTTTTGTTCCTCGTTGCTGGGAAACTGGACTTTTTTTTTTTTTTTTTGACTTCTTACAGAGAGGAAGGGAGAGAGAGAGAGAGTTAGAAACATCGATGAGAGAGAAACATCGATCAGCTGCCTCCTGCACGTCCCCTACTGGGGATGTGCCCGCAACCAAGGTACATGCCCTTGACCGGAATCGAACCTGGGGCCCTTCAGTCCGCAGGCCGACACTCTATCCACTGAGCCAAACCGGTCAGGGCGGAAACTGGACTTTCTTAAAGCACAAATCTGAACATCTCAGTCCCCTACTTAAAATGCTTCATTTAGTTGCTCTTCATGGCCTTCAGGGTAAAGTTCAGACCTTGATTAATCCACTCTAATCACATATACTCTCTCACTTTATCTCAGAGCATCCTCTGTAGCTTGATAACTACTTTCTGTCTCCTCAATATCCCATGTTCTTTCTCTTGATTTTGTTACTTGATACAGATAGTCTGTCTGCCTGCAATGCCAGTCTCTCCCCGCATGTGGCTTGGCTTACTCATTTCAGCAATTGGCATGCATTACTTTTGTAATAAAACTGATTTTATTGGGTTTTTTTGTTTGTTTGTTTGTTTGTTGTTGTTTTTTTACAGAGAGGAAGGGAGAGAGATAGTTAGAAACATCGATGAGAGAGAAACATCGATCAGCTGCCTCCTGCACATCTCCCACTGGGGATATGCCCGCAACCCAGGTACATGCCCTTGACCGGAATCGAACCTGGGACCTTTCAGTCCGCAGGCCGACGCTCTATCCACTGAGCCAAACCGGTTTCGGCATGATTTTATTGTATTTTTTTTTTCTTTAAAAACTGATCTTAAAAAGAAGTAGCTTAAGAATCACCTTTGCCTGGCCAACAATTCCTCAACCACCCTCTCCATATCAGTCTGATTTTGAGACTCCTGTAGGCCCAGAGTGCCCCAGGCTTCCCCCTATCACTCCAGATTCTATTTATCTCTTCACCTCTGCCTCCTCCATTACACTGAGCTCCTGGAAAACATCCCCCACCCCCCCAAACACAAGTACCATGTTTTGTGTTTTCTCTCTTTCCATCATGAAGATACCTAAACATTCAGAAAGGTAAAGAGAATAGTATAAAACCATATACATATCACCGAGATTTTAACAATTGTTAGTATTTTGAAATATTTGCTTCAAATATGTTTTTCTGAGATAGTCTATGTAAATTACAAATATCACACTGTTACCCCAAGGATTTCTATATACATCTCTTTTGTGACATTTTCCTATTTAATCACAATATTGTTATTTCATGTAATAAAAATAATAATATCTCATATCACCAAGTACTTAGTGTGACTTTAACTTCTATGTCCCCAGTGCCTAGCATACTTCCTGACAAGTAGCAATAAATTAATTAATTAATTCTGTGTAACAACAAATAGAACAGCAATGGGATATTTATCTACTCAAAAGTATCAGGGGGTATAGAGTTAAATTTTTAAAAAATTTCTAATGTGCTTTAATTCACAGATGAAGACACAAAAAGGAGATCAAAGAAAGCCAAGAAAAAGGAAAAGAAGAAGAAACGCAGATCGTCAGTTTTTTTTCTTTAATTTTTATTATGGAAAAGTTCAAATATATATAAAATTACATAAAACAGTAAAATGATCCCCCATGTAACTCTTGCCCAGCTTGCACAATTACCAACTCATGGGCAGTCTCCACTGCCCCCCTCCATTATTTCGATACCAATCCCAGATATCATTCCATCCATAAACCATGTTTCTCTAAAAGATAGGCATTCTTTTTTAAAAAAAAAAAAAACCCTCATAACTACAGTACTAAAAATATTTAACAATAATCTCAATTCTTGGTAGTTTTTTGTACAGTATATTTAAATCAGGCTCCAAGTAATGTCATAAATTGCCATTGATTTATATGTCTCTTACATCTCTATCCTCTCCTGTTTTGTTCTTGCAAATTGTTGAAGAAACCAAATTGTTCGTCCTGTAGAATTTCCTGCAGTATGGATTTTGCTGATTGTATTATCATGTCCTTTTAACATGTTCTGTCCTCTGTATTTATAAGAGAAACCTACCCTCATCAACTATTTGGTAACCCTGAAGTACAGTTTATATAGAAAGGACAGGATAATTGCTTACTTTTTAAAAATTCTTTATTGTTGAAAGTATTACCTGTCTCCTTTTTCCCCCATTGACCTCTCCTGACCTCTCCCAGTCCACTCCTGCCCCCAGCACGAGGCCCTCACACCCCTACTGTCTGTGTCCATTGGTTAAGTTTATATGCATGCATATTAAGTCCTTTGGTTGATTCTTACCCCCCAGTTGCTTACCTTTTTTGTTTTATGAGTTTTTAAAATAATGAGCTGGGTTATTTTAATATCATTATGAACCCAAGTATTGATATATGTTTAATGTTCTTTAATACACTTGAAATTATTGCTGCTCAAATTGGTAAAAGCTGTTTTTTAAACTGCTTTATTTTTGTTATCTTTCTATATCATGAGAATTTTATTTCATTTTTCCCTTTAGGGATCTTTTTTTTATAGTGAAACATAATTTGGTTAAATAAGTTAGAAGATTTTTAAATTAAAATTCTCTAAAAAGTTTGAATAAGCTGAGAATTCAAACCATTTTAATCAGTCTTTTCATTGCCTTGAAAAAATAATATACCCTTTAACATGGGAATATTAAGTCAATTTGTATCAAATTATAATAATTACAGGAAAAAATACAAGAAAAAGAAGTCTAAGAAGAGCAGAAAAGATTCCAGTGACTCAAGCTCTAAAGATTCCCAAGAAGAGTTTCTGGAGAATCCCTGGAAGGATAGATCAAGTAGGTTCTTCTGATAGACTTTGACTCAGAACAGATAAAACATTAAATTAACCAATTTGTCAAAATGTGAATTATTTTTCTGAACATCTTTCATGCAGAGCCTGAAGAACCCTCAGATTTAATTGGCCCAGAGGCTCCAAAAACACTTGCCTCTCAAGATGATAAACCTCTGAAGTAAGTTGACAGTGCATTTACAAAGTAGCTTCCCAAAAGTAGGGCCCTAACTTACCTTTCCAAGCTTACCTCCCTCTGCTCCCTCATTTATACCCCAGGTTCCAACTGAGCCGAACTAAATTTTCCTGTGTTTACTGTGCACTTTCCCACATTGTGTCTTGTTTCCCTTATTTCTTCCTCCAACATGCTTTCCCTATTTTCTTCAGCCCTGTTTTCCTCAATACCTTAAATGTCTTCCTGTTAAAATCCTTACCATCCTTCAAAGCCCATTTGAATAGGAGGGGCATGTGCTGATTCCCAGTACCTCTACAAGTAGGTGTGGTTCCTACCCCTCTTTCTTCCTTTAATCCTCAGAGAATTTTCTATTTCTTTTGTGATATGTATTATATATTCTACATTGTATTTCAGTTATATTCTTATTAATACGTAAATTCTACAAGATCAGAGATTATTTTTGGTTAATTGGTATTTAAGAAGTGTTCAATGAATTGAATGAAGGGATGATAGGTTTTAAAGTCCCCTTGAATGAAAGGTAATAGATAATTGTTACTGTGTTATTGGTTAGAAGGCTAAACAGTATGTTAAATTTGAGTTATATTATTTCTTTACTTTTGCTTAAGGAAAAGAAATTTGCTAAAAGAAGCAGTAAAAGCAGTACCTGTAGGGATAAATTTATCCATAATTGTAAAATATGAATATATACATACTAACACCAGTTCTTTTGTTCTTCCAAAATATCTCTGCACTTCTGGGTTAGTTACATAGGTTACTAATTAAATTAATTAATATTGGGCTTCCTAGCATGCTTCCACTCAGCAATTGTTATTCCTAATGTTTGCTGAGAGTAAATGAATTTTTGTGTTCTCTTTAGATGATGAGATTTTTATAATGAACCTTTTCTGAATTCTGAATTACTTTGTAGCTATGGCCATGCTCTGTTACCTGGTGAAGGTGCAGCTATGGCTGAATATGTAAAAGCTGGAAAACGTATCCCACGAAGAGGTGAAATTGGTTTGACAAGTGAAGAAATTGCATCATTTGAATGCTCGGGTTATGTAATGAGTGGTAGCAGGTACGTTCTTGGCATTGGAGTCAATTTTTATGATGAAATCATTTCCTTTCTCACTACCAGGTTTATATTTGGTGATTGATTTTCATTAAGTGATCATTCCTAATGAAAAGTAAAGTATTGTTTTAATACTGGATTTATTAATATAAATATAGTTGTCTAAAATTCTAAGTATGTATGCACCTGAGCTTCAAACTCATCTGTGTCAAAGAATCAGTTTTTCTAGTATCCTTTCTTATTTCATATTTTGGTATAGATAGTTTATCCTCTGCAGGATATAGTTAGTTAAATTCAGCTATTTATCACTGCCTCATGAGGAAAGCATTTTCATAAAACAATGTTTCCTGGTTTCTAAGTTTGCTTCTGTGGACTCAGAAAACATGGACTCTCTAGTTCTCTGTGGCCTCTGAGAATGAAGAGCAGAAAAGGATTATAACAGACATCAGGTTCAGCATGAGGGAATGAATATAAAATTAGGGAAGAGAAAGCAAAGTACCAGGAAGAACAAGGAGAATGAAAAGAGCATCTCTACCAAGATCAAACTGAAGTTTGGATTTTCAAAAACTTTATAAACTTCTAAAGGTAGATACGTATTTTAAAATAAAATTGAAGGCAAACATTTGCAGTACCCCTGAAGCACTTCCAGAATCTTATAATTCTGAGACCCAACATTTAAGAATATTATATCTGAGTTTCAGCACAATAAGATAAAAAGAAATTGGAGGCATAAGGACTGGAAATGAAGATATAACACAGTCACTTTTTGTGAATGATATGGATTGTTTATATAGAAATCCTAAAGAACCTAGAGATAAATTATAAATAATAAGAGGGTTTAACGAATAGTTGTATATAAGATTAATACACAAAAATCAATTGCATTTCTATGCACCATCAACAAACAACTAGAAAATGTAATTAAATAAAAAGTAAACAACATTTGTAATAGTATCAGAGAATATGAAGGATTTAGGAATAAATATTTTTTAAATATGTTTTTATTGATTTTAGAGGGAGAGGGATAGATAAAAACATCGATGAGAAAGAGACATCTATTGGCTGCCTGCATGCCCCTACTGGGGTTCAAGCCCGCAACATGAGCTTGTGCCCTGACTGGGAATGGAACCAAGGACCTCATGGGTCGATATTCAACCACTGAATTACACTGGCCCAGCAGGAATAAATCTTAATAAAAAATGTCTAGGACCTCTACAGGGAAAACTATAAAACACTATTAAGAGACATTTCAAAATAAATGAAGAAATACCATGTTCATGGACAGAAAGGCAATATTGTAAAGTTATCAGTTCTTCCCAAATTGATCTGTAGATTCAGTAAAGTTCTCATCAAAATCACAACAGAGTTTTCCGTGAAACTTCATAAGTTGGTTTTAAAATGTATTTGTTAGACTAGAGGGCCAAGAATAGCCTGGTCACTTCTGAAGAAGAGGGGGAAGATGAGACTTGCTTTACCAGATATGAGGACTTATTATGAAGCTTACAGCACTTTCAAAAGTGTTGGGGAACAAATCAATTGTTCAATGGAATAAAATACAGAGTCCAGGGACAGAGTCATGCATGTATGGAACTTAGGTATATGAAAGAGATAGCCTATAGGATCACTGGGGAAAGAAGGAACTATTCAGTAAATGGTTCAGGAAAAAAATGGTTATGTGTATGGGAAAAGATGAAAGTAGAACCCTATATTACCATATTTAAAAATCAGTACAGCTAGGTTAAGAACTTAAATGTCAAAAACAACTTTAACACTCAGTATAAAATATGAGCAGATATCTATTAGAACTTGGGGTGGCGGAAGTGTTTTTTAAAGGACAAAAATACAAAATAACCATAAGATAAAATATTGATAAATTTGCCTAGGTTAAAAATACCAACTTTTGTTCATCAAAAGGCATCTTAAAATAAGTAAAAAGACAAGTTCCAAGCTGAGGTAAGAAAGAAGCAATAAAAATATATTTTTTTTAAAAAAAAGAAAGTGGGAAAATGATATGAAGAGGCATTTGTCAGAAGAAGAAATATATATGAGCTATAAATACATAAAAAGATGATCATGCCTGACCTGCGTGGCTCAGTGGTTGAGTGAGTGTCCACCTATGAATCAGGAGGTCATGGGTTCGATTCCCAGTCAGGGCACATGCCCGGGTTGATGTTTCTACTTCTCTCTCCCGCTCCCTTCCTCTCTGAAATCAATTTAAAATTATATATATATATATATATGTTTTAAAGATGGTGGATGTGGAGAGAGCAGAGTGCCTGAATAATGGCTCCTCTGTGTATAACACATCCAACAGCAACTTGGGCTTACTCCTCACAGGTGGCAGGATACCATGACCTTCCTGTGACATTACGCCCTATATATATACTAATAAAAGGGTAATGTGCTAATTAGACCAGGAGACCTTCCGGACGACCTTCTGGACAAAGCCTTGGTGGTGGGGCCAAGGCAGAGGCAGTTAGGGGCAATCAGGCCAGGAGGGGAGGGCAGTTGGGGTTGATCAGGCTGGTGGGGGGGGAGGGCAGTTGGGGGCGAGCAGGCCAGCGGGGGGGGGGGGGCAGTTGTGGGCGAGCAGGCTGGCAGGCAGAGTGGTTAGGGGCGATCAGGCAGGCAGGCAGGTGAGCGGTTAAGAGCCAGTGGTCCCAGATTGCGAGAGGGCCTAAACCGGCAGTTGGACATCCCCCAAGGGGTCCCAGATTGGAGAGGGCGCAGGCTGGGCTGAGGGACAACCCCCCCCCCCCGCACAAATTTTGTGCATCAGGCCACTAGTGTGTGTGTGTGTGTGTGTGTGTGTGTGTGTATAAAAGATGTTCATTATCATTGGAAATGGAAATTAAGAACACACTGAAATACCATTTTGCTTGCATTTGATAAACAGAAGTTCACAGTTCTAACAATACCAAGCATTTGAGAGAATGTGGATCTACAGGATCTCTTAAATATTACCAGTGGTGGTGTAAATGGGTATAACCACCTTGGAAAAAAGTCTGACATTATATTGGAAAGTTAAGCATTCATATACTTTTATGACCCAGCAACTCCATACCTAGATACCCAAGAGAACACTCTTTCCCATGTACTAGGAGACATTTACATAGATGTTTATCACAGCATCATTCACATAGTACTTCCTGTTCCAGTTAAACTACTCACTGTACCCGGAGCAACCTAAATACATTGTCATCTCCTTGACTCTCCATCTTGCCACTCCCCCACTGCCAGGGTTCTTGTTCCAGCATTAAAAAGGGTTCAGCAATCTGGAGAAAGGCTGTGTCTAACTTAATAAAGAGTCCAGAGACAAAATGTAATTTTGAAAGGTATTTGGGGGTCAGAGGAGCCTAGCTTAAGAAACTAAGATTTCCTCATCTCAGGACCCCATGCTTTTTATTAACACAAATTTTCCTGAGGCGAGGCAGAAATATATACTTCAAAGGGTAGGGTTTCATATACAGAGTCCATTGTTAGAATGGGGAGAATTAGCCTACGGCTGTTCAGGTGTTTGGCCAATAGGAGGCAATAACATGTAGGTTAAGATGTCCTGAGCTGTCTGGTAGAAGGAATCAACCCTTTTCAGGTTTGGAGAAATACCATCAGCCATTCCCAACAGGTGACAACACATGTGACTCAGCCCTTGTTGAGTCCCCAAGTTCCATCAACCTTTTGATGAAACTCTTGCAATTATGACATGCTGGAATTGGCTTCTGGCACCCTACTTTCACACTAACCTGAAATCTCAGTTTTCTCTATTTTTCTAGATAGCTCAAGCTTCATCTTGAACTGACTGTATAGGATTGGGTACATATACATAAAAGAGGCAGGGTTTCATGAAGTTTTCCTTCTAAATAAACAACCTTTTGAATATGTAATAGTTTCCCTCTGCCCCTGCCCCTATACTTTCCTGATTTGGATCTTGTGCTATATCCCTTCTTTATTTTCTTTGAGCTGCTAAAGGAGTTAAATTCAATTGTAGATTTAGACTTGGTTCTTTTGGTTGTATGGTAAATTTGAACCTTGAAGAAGTTCCACCTAATTGATGACAGCTTACATCTTTCATCTATCCTATTATTAATTCCAAAAAGCAAATTCCACATATCACCTAGGAAGTTTAATACAATTTGCCTGTTTCTGGTTTGTGGGGAAGCATGGGACTTGGTTGGAAGGTCTGGAAGGAGGAATCTCTGAAAGGTTGGAGGTCTCTGGGGGACCTTGAAGAAGGCGGCAGCCCCTGCCTTGACTTTTCCAAACAAGTCTGAGCCCCCAGGTGTTTACTTAGACATGTCCTTGCTTAAAGGACGCATGTGTTTCCTCAAGGATGCTTACCCTACTGATAGTATCTAATAGTTAATTTTAGTTCAAGCTGTTGTTACAATAAAAGCCAAAGGAGGCAGGTGAACAGGGCTATTTGCTCCTAAAGCAAACTAATTCCTTGGCCTCTCTTTCACAGAAACGTGTGTCAAAGCAATCTGTTCATCCATCGCTCAGGGTCTGCTGGTCAGTCCCAGCACTGGTTGTTTTACTGGAAACAGCATAACTAGACTTATGCTCTTAGTATTTGAAATTAATGACATTCACAATGTTGACAGGACATCAGAGATCATTAATTGAATACTAGAAATAAATCAAAGGACATGGCAGATAAAATGATCTTTTGAAAATATAACCCATTACAAAAATAGTTTCTATTTGTCAGATTTTTAAGTAAATCACTCTGTATTAAGAAAGGATTAGTGCCTGGCCAGTGTTGTTCAGTGGTTGAGCATCGACCTATGAACCAGGAGGTCACAGTTTGATTGTGGTAAGGGCACATGTGGAGTTGCAGGCTTGGCCCCTAGTAGGGGGGTGTGCAGGAGGCAACCGAAAAATGATTCTCTCAGAATTGATGTTTCTATCTCCCTCTCCTTTCCTCTCTGAAATCAATAAAAATATATTTTAAAAAAGAAAGGATTAATGAGAAATGATGAGAATAACTATGAGAATAATTACCGAGAAATTAAACCAAAAATGAAATTATCTCCAGGCACCGCCGAATGGAGGCTGTGCGGCTACGGAAAGAGAACCAGATCTATAGTGCTGATGAGAAGAGAGCTCTTGCATCCTTTAACCAAGAAGAAAGACGAAAGAGAGAAAACAAGATTCTGGCCAGTTTTCGAGAGATGGTATACAGAAAAACTAAAGGGAAAGATGACAAATAAGGATTTTCAGATTGTTCAGCAGACATTTTCAACAAAAAGTCTGGGTTCCATATATACATACAAAAAGGTTATTATGATCTGGAAATCTTTACAGTGCTACTGTGCCTTCTATTTAATTCTTTCAGTCCTTCAATAAAAAGCTGCTTATTGATATAACTTTGGTATATTTTGGATTGCCCATAAAACTTTCTGGTTGAAAAATCCAAATTGTGAATGAAATCCTACTATATTTGGGGAGGTGACATTGAGAGAAGATGTCAGTGAGATGAAAAATAAGTTGCACTGTCTCATACCATGGGACAGTGCTACTCTTAGCTCTCCATGACGCTCACCCCCGCCCCAAGTGAACTTGTGGGAAATTATTCCTCTATGTTGAATGTGTTATAAATGGATTGATAGAACCACACAGGAGGCCAGTTTTGCTAACAAAATTAAGGCATTGCTGAAAAAAAGCAAATCTGGGATTTGAAGATTGACTTTATTGTACAATATATAATCTGCCTTGAACACAATGTATTTTGATTTTAGTCCCTACCCTCACCCTAAAACCCACAAACAAACCAAAATGCAAATTAACCCACAGACTTACTAAATTGAAAATGTGAACATTAGTTTTAAAATTCTTAACAGGTTATTAAAAGTGTTTTTTCCAAATATAAAATATTGGGACATCTACTGTTGTGCCAATGTAAGTACATTATTTTCATCTAAGCTGTACTTGGATCATAATTTGAATACTAGAAATGAATGGGAGTCAACTGTGGTCAGGCATTTAATACGGAAAAAATATGTCATTACTTTAACTTGGTTGTTTTATAAGGATGAAGCTAAAATTTTATTCAACATTTTTTGCCTGTCCTTTATGTAATTTTTGTCTATCCTTTACATAAACCTTTCAGTTTATTTTTTACATCAGTCATGCAGTTTAATCTTTAATTTTATATAGAACCCCCTCAATTTATCACTTTTTTATGGCTACTATTGACTTTTTTTTTTAATATATTTTATTGATTTTTTTACAGAGAGGAAAGGAGAGAGACAGAGAGCTAGAAACATCGATGAGAGAGAAACATCAATCAGCTGCCTCCCGCACACTCCCCACTGGGGATGTGCCCGCAACCCAGGCACATGCCCTTGACCGGAATCGAACCTGGGACCCTCCAGTCCGCAAGCCGACGCTCTATCCACTGAGCCAAACCGGTCTCGGCACTACTATTGACTTTTACTAGTATGTTTTGAAGAAATGGAAAATTCTGGGACTGTGAGATTACAATCTTTTTCCTTCCCTATTTTGTTCAATTTTAGTCACTAGGTCACAAGAGTGAAGCGGGAGGGGACAGTGGAAGCTCAGGTTGTTTTTGTTAAGATTGTTTTGAGCTGCATTATTATGTGCCTAGGATAAATTTAAATTACCTGGATGGTAAGGAAATTCTGATTCTGCTGTTATAAAATGCCCTCTCCTCTCTCTTTAGAATAAAGTGGGGGGTTTTTTTCAAAGTTTTCAAATAAGGCAGTCAGATTTCTTTTTTTTTTTCCTTAAGGCAGTTAGATTTCAAAGCATAGCTCAGAAGCTTTACTATTTTAGCATGTTTTAGGAAAATGTATATCTTTAACCCATAACTAGTGAACTGAACAGCCACTTGGCATGTAGCAACATTTATGACCCCTGAATTTGAAGTTATTTATATTTATCATCATTGCTGCCTAGTCTAAGAAATCTATTTTCCAAAAGTTAAAAGGAAACTAGATCCCAAATTTGGGAGTCCTAATCTATCTACTTCCCTGTATAATAAAACCTAAACTTATAATCCCCATTTAAAATTTTTGTTCTCTGAGAACATTATTTTTTATTACTGGTTCCTAGAGACTGAATGAGTTTGTTCTCTTATTTTCAGTACGCAAGATAGTTCAAATGCAACAATTTTGTGATATACTGTGCATTTTCATTTTATTCTTCTGCCTCCTCCAACAAATGTTTGTTGAGTAAATAGAAAAAAAATATGTTAATTTATTTCAAAACTTTACCATTTCTTTCATCAGGGTTTCTTCAGGAAAGATGTGCCAAGAATAGTTTCGGTAGCATATTTTCTGGGAAAGGGGAGGGAAGAATAAAAATCTAAAAGTATTTTCTTTTTAGCTCATGAGAGTTACTGCTTCAAACTATGTGTAGTCACCTGAGCCATAAGTCTAATAGGCAGGCTTTTTTCAAAAATACTTTACTTTTTGTTCTCCAAGGAAGACTTTTCTAGTTTCCCACCTCCTCCCCTGTTGCTCTAAGATTTTTCCCTCCTTTTTTATTTATTGCACAAATGTAACAGTTAAAAAAAGAAAAATTACCCACAGTCTTACCACGTCAATTGTCTTTAGGGTTCTGTGTTTACTTCCAGTGCTTGTCTATGTAAATATGTATTCTGGTGTACCTATAAGTAATCACTTGTAATGTAATTTGTCTTTGGTGTTTTAAAATGTTGTAGCCAGGAAAGACAGCCTCATAGGGTTGGTAGGAACAAGTGATAATCTGGTGTGAGGATGGGAAGAAGACAAAAAATAAGTGAGGGTGGAGACTGAGCCTTCCATGTTTCATTGCCCCAATTCCTGCTGCCATCATTTCAATGCTGTGTTGTGGCAGGCAGCATGCCCAGTTTTAGAATTTCAGAATGTGTTTAACAATGATGCTTCACTCACTGTAAATGAAGGGGTCTGTGAGTAGAGAAACCCTTCAGACTGGTTATAGTATGAGACGTAGAACTGTTGCCATTTTTCTGTTCTCCAGTCGTGCCCATAAAGAGATGTATCTGGCCCTGGCTAGTGTGGATCCAGAGGTTAGAGCATCGGCCTGCGCACCAAAGGGTGCAGGTTTGATTCCTAGTCAAGGGCACGTGCCTGGGTTCGTTTGTTCTCTCTCTCTCTCTCTCTCTCTCTCTCTCTCTCTCTCTCTCTCTCTCTCTCTCTCTCTTCTTTCTCTCCCTCCACTCTCTCTAAAAAATCAATGGGAAAAATATCCTTGGGTTTGGATTAACAAAAACAAAAAAAAGTTGTGTCTGGGCTGGACACTTAGCTCAAATGGGAGAATAGGCAGGCAAGTACTAATTTCAGTTGGTCTGACAGGTGAATTTTAGCAACTCTCTAAACTCAACTTCTATACTTGTAAGACTCTGAGTGATGCAGATAGTGATGGGAAAAACCTTTTAGAAAATAGAAAACAACTTACTGGTTATTCTGTTAGCATGATGGAAGTTGCCAAATGGAAAATGAATGAATGCAAAAAAAATACAGTTGGATTGTGTGTCACCGGTTTATTATTCAATAAATATGTTGTGGTTTGATGTGCCATATGGTGTTTTTTAATACATTCTGATTAGAAATCCAATCATAAAACATTCTGTAAGAGTCAGACACAATTGAATTAGAAGGGAAATGACTTCATTATATTATGTTTGGCCACAACCATTTCCTTCACCCAATTTTCTCGAAAGCGAGTCGTTCCTGGTCTGCGGAGGAAGAAAAACAAACATACCAAAAGCTTTTTAAAATAAAAGGAACCATTGAGCCAAAGATTGATTCCCTGTTTACTCTGTTTCATTCCTGGTGAGCAAAAAGCCTTTTGGGGGGGGGGGGTCTAAGACTGTATCTATTCCTTAGGCCCAGTCAATACAAGAATTAATGAGCTTATATATATTCTTTAAAAGAGCTGCTATACAAATAAAAGAGGTTATTATATATGAGTTAATTCAATGTAATTGTGAATTTTCCGATAAAAACAATAGACATGACCCACTTTGCCACCACCCTACTCCAACTAATCCTCAAGTTTATAATCACTGAAAAACAAGATACTAAAAAGCAAACAAAAACAATTTTCTAGAACAGTAACAGTGTCCTACTTTCAGTCCATCCTAATGCGGTAGGTGGTCCAAACGAGAAAGGTGACCATTACGTGAATTATCTGTTGCTGTGGGCCTCCTGGATTCCTGGGGTATAGTGACCTTTATCTACCACCCATTTCAAATAAGTCTCCAAATGTTCATTACCTGTGAACTAGTGACTGGCCTTCAAACATATAAGAGATGTCAATGGGTGCATCCTAAGAGAGAAAAAGACAGTTGTCAGCCTAGACCCATGGTCGGCAAACTGCGGCTCGCGAGCCACATGCGGCTCTTTGGCCCCTTGAGTGTAGCTCTTCCTAAGCCTTAGGAGTACCCTAATTAAGTTAATAACAATGTACCTACCTATATAGTTTAAGTTTAAAAAATTTGGCTCTCAAAAGAAATTTCAGTCGTTGTACTATTGATATTTGGCTCTGTTGACTAATGTTTGCCGACCACTGGCCTAGACCAGTGATGGCGAACCTTTTGAGCTCAGCGTGTCAGCATTTTGAAAAACCCTAACTTAACTCTGGTGCCGTGTCACATATAGAAATTTTTTGATATTTGCAACCATAGTGAAACAAAGACCTATAGCCAAAACCGGTTTGGCTCAGTGGATGGAGCGTCGGCCTGCGGACTGAAGGGTCCCAGGTTCGATTCCGGTCAGGGCATGTACCTGGGTTGCGGGCATATCCCCAGTGGGAGATGTGCAGGAGGCGGCTGATCGATGTTTCTCTCTCATCGATGTTTCTAACTCTCTATCTCTCTCCCTTCCTCTCTGTAAAAAATCAATAAAATATATTTCAAAAAAAACAAAGACCTATATTTTTGATATTTATTTTATATATTTAAATGCCATTTAACAAAGAAAAATCAACCAAAAAAAATGAGTTCGCGTGTCACCTCTGACACGCGTGTCATAGGTTCGCCATCACTGGCCTAGACCAATCATACCAACTCATGATTCCTTCCATCTCTGTACTTTTCCATATATATATATACTCTTAAATTTCTAGACTTCATCTCCCTTATAAATTGGGAGTCTGTAGGTTGTAGTTATTTGTCACATCAAACCTCTGTTCTCCAAAAGATCTTTTGGTCAACAAATACTTTAAGCATCACCACAACATTGGAAACAAGTCAGGAGAGGCGTATGCTCATTAAGAGCTTGAATAAGTCATTTACTGTCTTTACATGTTCCAGTTTACTCAACTGATAGTAGCTACTGTACCTCTGAGTAATGGCATAAGAATAAAATAATATAGATTAACAAATTTTGAAAAACATGTTTAAAGCAGCATAAAAATGTAGGTTGTAATATTGTTTCAGTGGTCCCCACCAGTTCTCCCCTACAAAGTTATACTCAGAATTCTGAGCAAAAGCCCTTCTCCCAAGCCCCCTCTCTCTGTGGTCATGGTTTATGGTCTTGCTTACCTCCACCAGCCTTACTTTCTGATCTCTAAACTTGTCATTTATCAAGATAGCTGATGGTAGGATATATGACCAGGAAAAGCAAGAGCTCTGCATATTTTACCTTTTTAAATTACTTCAGGTTTCAAAATCTCTGACTAGATAAGTTTGTACTAGGATAGAGTGAATATTGGACATAATTAGCTCACTATGTGGTCACATAGCCTTAGAGTGAGACAAAACTTCAAATAACTTTGTGAACGGATGGAAAGCAAAAGGGGATATAACATTTTTATGTCTGCTGTATTCCAGGCATTATGCTTGAAATCAACCCTGCTCCTCTGAGAACGCTATGCCTGGATTCATGTTATTTTGACTCTTTTCACACCAGCTATCAACATATTTCAGATTCATGGTCTACCTAATGGCTATAAGCAGTCATTCAAGTATTTATTGAGTGCCTTCTCTTTGCCAGACCTTGTTTTACAGCAAAACAAAAATCTCTGCTTTCATGGCACTTACATTCTGGTAGGGAGGACAGATGATAAGATAAATTATATAGCATATCAGAAGGTGATAAAGTGTTAAGAAGAAAAAGAAAAAGCATTGGTGGGTGGGGGAGTAGTGGTAGAAAGTGCAGCATAGGCGGTGAGAGAGCAGGCCATGCACATACCTAGGGGAGAGTGTTTCAGTCAGAAGGAACAGCAAGTGCAAAGGCCCTGAGGCAGGAGTATATTATTAAAGAGTAGCAAGATCAGAGTGGCTGGAGAGAGTAAGTGAGGGAGACGGAATATTGGGAAAGCGGAAATAACAGAGACCAGATCACTCAAGGCCTTGTAGGCCCTTACTACTCAAAGCATAGCTTATAGACCTGTAGCATCAGCCTTGCCTGGGAACTTCTTAGTAATGCCGAATCTCAAGCCCCACCTCAGACCTCCTGAATCAGAATCTTCCAAATAATGTGCATGCACTTTGAAGTTTGAGAAACACATTGCAATATGTTTAAACAGAGGAGTGACATCAATTCATTTAATAAGGGTCACTCTGGCTGGCTGCTATATTTATAGAACAGAGACATGATGAGGGCAAGGGTGGAAGCAGAAGGACCAATTAGAAGGCTATTGAAATAATCTTGATGAGAGATGATGGTATCTTGGACCAGGATGGTAGAAGTGGAGTGGTAAGAAATTGTTGGATTCAAGACCTGTTTTTCACTCACTAGGGAGGTGGGACACCAGTGGTGAGGCCCTAGCCCACCGCCCTCAGCAGTGTGTGGCCCTGAGCATGGGTGTCATGGCTCCGGCTTCCTGCCTGGGCAGTCAGCACTCACAGAATAGAACCATGGTTTTTAAAAGCCGGTTATCTTCCGAGGCCTTGTCACCAGGAAGCTACCTGAGGCCCTGATTGGAGAGCGGCAGTGGAGAGCGTATTAATAGTAGTGCCTCTTCACTGTTGGTTGCCCGCCTGGGCCCAGTGAGGCACACAGTCTGGGCACCTAGGTGCATGAGCAGCCTGGGAACATGGTAATGTACTCCTGCCTCAGGGCCTTTGCACTTGCTGTTCCTTCTGACTGAAACACTGTAGAGGCTGTAGAGCAAGCTTCTTGCCCCCTGTGAGTGAACACTGGTCTAGGCCAGATGCAGGAGATAGCGGGGAGAAGGCCCGGCTGCACTGTTAAGATAGGGAACGGGTTGTTTAAAGGTGGAATGGAGCAGCGAGCAGATAAAAAGCCGTGTCCCAGCCACTGAACATCCATTCTGCTCCATATATAATGGAATATCACTTGGCCACAAAAAAGAATGAAATGTCACCGTTTGCCACCACATGGATGGACCTAGAGTAGTGGTTCTCAACCTTCCTAATGCCGCGACCCTTTAACATGCCGGATATTCATCTGTGAGCGTATCTGCATGTGGGCGGACCCGCCTGGAGACGGATAGAGGAGCGGTGTCTCGGTTCCTAAGACCATCGAAAATATGTGTTTTCCGATGGTCTTAGGTGACCCCTGTGAAAGGGTCACGACCCACAGGTTGAGAACCGCTGATCTAGAGGGCATTATGCTCAGTAACATGTCAGTCAGAGAAAGACAAATACCATATGACCTCACTTATATGTGGAATCTGAAGAACAAAGTTGAAGCAACAGAAAAGGTGGCATGGGGATCTGAAATGAGTGGTCCCCAGTGGGGGGGACACCCTGAGGTCTGCACAAACATACTGCACCCCAGTGAGGTTCACACTCAGTAAGGGGCAGCGGGGCTGTGACAGGACCGCCCTGCTGGGCTTCTAGTCAGAGAAGAATGGTGCTGAGCCCGAGGAGCCTGCCCGAGCCCAGGGGTGACCTATTCTCAAGGAGCCAAGACAGTTAGCCACAGGCTTTATCTCCAGATGTGGCTCAGAACTCACTAAAAATGTAATCATGAAAGGACGAGAGCTATGACCACGGTGACCCGGAGGACCTGGTCAGTCCCCGGAACATGTGGTGACTCACGGTGACTCGGGGCGCTGCCAGTCTACCTCGCCGTGGGCAGCCGCTCTCAGGTGCCTCTGCAGGTTACTGACCCTGCCCAGGGCTGCCCGCACTGGCTGCCCTCCCAGCTCAGCGGCTCAGCCCCCACCCCTCACAGTGCCCTGCGCGGGGACAGCGCCCCCCACCCCTGGACAGTGCCTTGCGCGGAAACAGCGGTCCCTCGGGCACAGTGCCCCCACCCGAGGGGACAATGCAGGGCGGGGCCCAGGGACCCGAGTCCCAGCGTAGCCCCTGGCCCCGAAGGGCCCCGAAGCCCTGGCTCACTCTTTGCGCGCTGCCCCTCAGAGTGCTCAGTGCCCTGCCCACCCGACCCCACTGTTGGCGCCCACTCACCGGTTTGCTGGGCTGCGCAGTCGCTGTGGGGCAGCTCAGGACTTCGAGGAAGAGGCGGGGCTCTAGAGTCCCACGCTGCGCTGGGCCTGTGTACTCAGGTGACCAGCACGGCCAGCGCTGCGACACCCCGGCCCACCCCCGCGCGCGCCGCCCCCCCCCGCGCGCGCGCCACCCCCTTCCCCCGGGCCGCCCCCCCCAGCCCCCGGGCCGCGCCCCCCCCCCGCCCGCGCTGCCCCCCTCCCTCCGTGCCGAGTCCCCCCCCCCCCGCCCGTGCCGCCCCCTTCCCCCGCGCCAGCCCCCCCGCCCGTGCGCGCCGCGCCGCCCCCGCCGGCGGGCCCTCCGGCGACCGGGGGTTAGCTGAGCGGGATGCAGGCCCAGCAGGGCCCATGTGCACTAGACATTGGTACTGAGTCAGTGCAGTGACCACTGGGACAGCTCCACCCAGGAGCCCATGACCTGTCCCTCCAGGTGCAAGTGCTTCCCTTCCTATGCACGCTGTTTCCCAATCACTGTTGCTCCCTAGATTCAGGAATTTCTTTGTATAAACTGAACTGGCCCCAGGAATCCCCTTAAAAGAGACAGTACATTGTTGGCAGCCTGGTCGACTTTGTAGCTGTTGTTATAATTAAATGTTGGGGAAGTTTAAAGAACAACAAAAAAATACCTGTTTTTGAAGGTAGGGCCAACAATTTCCTAATGGATTGGATAAGGTGTCTGAGATAGTTAAGGATGATGCCAAGGATTTTGGCATCAACTGAGATGAGGAAAACTGCAGATAAGGTTTGGAAGGAAAAATTGTAAGTTCAATTCTGGTTACAATAAGTAAGATGTTTCTTAAACATACAAGTGGCAGAAGCCTGGGCTGGAGACATAAATTTGGGAATCATAAGCTAGAGGTGACCCATTTACAGCCAGGAGACTGATAAGATCATCGAGGCAGTGAGTATAGGGAAGAAGTCCAAGGCCTAAGTTTTGGGACGTTCTAATATGAAGATTGGTGAGAGGAGAAACTGGTAGAGACTGAAAAGGAATGGTCAGTGAGGCATTAGTCATTAGTCACTCATTTCAGTGACCAAATGCCTCAAAACCAGAAGAGTATGTTGGTCTAGAAGCCAAATGGAATGTTTGTTTCATGAAGGAGGGAGTGATCAGCTATGGCAAGTGCTGTAGATGGGCCAAGCAGGATGAGAACAGAAATATGACTATTAAGTTTTACAAAGAAGGGGTCATCAATGACCTTGACAAGAGAAGTCTCCATTTTCATTGAAGTCTCACTAAAGGGAGCAGGGCATAAAGGGAAGAGCTTACCGGAGGTTTGTTTTTGTTGAACTTGACGGTGAAGAAGGCAAAGGCAGAGCTGTATGCTGTGGGTGTCTGAGAAGTTGGGACACTCCAGCGTACAGAGTAGATGTAGTGGAAGCTGTGAATCAGGTCTCTCCTCTCTACCAACTTCGTGTAGTGAACCCAACGGTCTTCATACTCCCAACTCTGTTTCACAGAAAAAAGAAAGAGCACACAGAGAAAGGCCTCTAGATAAAGGCAGCGCACAACAGTAGGGGTTACAGCCCTGCTTCTGGAGTCCATTTCTAACACTTTTGATTGGGATTCAAACTAGTCAACTTCCCATTACCTCCACAAGTGGAGGAGAAAAAAGGTGGAGCTGAAATGAAATGAGTTACTAATGCAAAGATCACTTGAGACCGGCCTTTGGACTGTAGATTCACATGCTCAGATGTTGATGTGTACATACACACTGCCTATACGTACACACTCACTTTCTTCCAGACCCTTACTTGGGAGGCAAGTTTGGTTCATTGGAAAATAATAAGAAAGTGACTAGAACATGTGATCTGCTCACTTTACTCAGGGAGACCTAAAAGTGTGACTAGAAAGTAATGAGGCTGATTTCGCAAATTGTTTTTGAAAGTCAGACTCACTTCATTGCAGCCATAGGTCGTATCCTATATAATAAAAGCCTAATATGCAAATCGACTAATTGGCAGAATGACCGGTGGGCATGGCCTGCAAGCGGACGGCACCAGGACAGCCAAGGCAGGTGCCAGCAGGAAGAGGGAGGGGGCGGCATTCGGGGAGGGGTGGCAACTGGTGGCAGGGGATGGGGAGGGGAGGGCCAGAGCTGCCCCCTGGTGGTCAGTGCACTCCCATAGGGATGTCTGCGGGGAGCAGGCCTAAGATGTCAGACATCCCCCAAGGGCTCCCAGACTGCGAGAGGGCGCAGGCCAGGCTGAGGGCCTCCCCACACCAGTGCACGAATTTTCATGCACCAGGCCTCTAGTGTAAAATAAAGTCAAAAAAGGAATGAGTCAGGCAATTGGATCTTCCAAATCCCTCAGATCCCTACACCCTTGAAGAAGCTTCCCCTCCAAATCACAAAGCTTGCCAGCAGCTAGGGTCCACAGAAGTCATAATGCAGCCCTGATTCTTAGCACAGGGCCTTGAATGCTATAGGTATTTAACAAGTTCAATTCAACCTAACCCTTTGGGCTGGCTCTCAGGGCACAGGAAACTTCCAAACCAAAAGAGATCCTGAATTGCAGAGAAAAAGGAACCCTCGTACACTGCTGGTGGGAATGCAGACTGGTGCAGCCACTGTGGAGAACAGTTTGGAGTTTCCTCAAAAAACTAAAAATGGAACTCCCATTTGACCCAGTGATCCCACTTCTAGGAATATATCCCAAGAAACTAGAGACACCAATCAGAAAGGATATAAGCACCCCTATGTTTATAGCAGCACAATTTGTAATAGCTAAGACTTGGAAACAGCCTAAGTGCCCATCAGCAGATGAGTGGATTAAAAAATGGTGGTACATCTACACAATGGAATAGTATGTTGCAGTAAAAAAAAAAAAGAAGAAGAAGAAATTCTTACCATTTGCAACAGCATGGGTGGACCTGGAGAGCATTATGCTAAGTGAAATAAGCCAGTCAGAGAAAGATAAATATCACATGATCTCACTCATTTGTGGAATATAATGAACAACATAAACGGATGAACAAAAACTGATCCAGAGACAGAAAAGCATCGATCAGACTGTCAAACCTCAGAGGGAAAGTAGGGGAGGGTGGGGGTAAGGGAGAGAGATCAACCAAAGGACTTGTATGCATGCATATAAGCCTAACCAATGGACACAGACAACAGGGGGGTGAGGGCATGAGTGGTGGGTGGGGGAGCAATGGGGGAATAGGACACATATGTAATACCTTAATTAATAAAGAAAAACAGCCGAAACCGGTTTGGCTCAGTGGATAGAGCGTCGGCTTGCGGACTGGAGGGTCCCAGGCTCGATTCCGGTCAAGGGCATGTACCTGGGTTGTGGGCACATCCCCAGTGGGAGGTGTGCAGGAGGCAGCTGATCGATGTTTCTCTCTCATCAATGTTTCTAACTCTCTATCTCTCTCCCTTCCTCTCTGTAAAAAATCAATAAAATGTATATTTAAAAAAAAGAAAAACAATTTTAATAAAAAATAGCAACAAAAAAAAGATCCTGAATTAAGATGAAGGTCCATAGAAGGAAGGAAGTGGGATTGTCTAACAATATCAGTGATGTGCAGAGGGACTGCGGGAGGAAATGGTAAAATGATTTCCAGCTCTCTTATAAAAAAAAAAAAAAAAAAAAAAAAAAAGCAGTAGTCTGGCCTTCTGCTTCAGCTTACTTTATTTCAAGTCTCTATCCAATTGGCTGTTTCAGTCAGCCATAAAGGAGCACCAGACTCTAGATTTCTTGAGATGAAGGACTGTGTCTTCCTACAGAGATCATTCCTTGTAATGAAGTTCAACAGTCAATCCCGTGAAGCCCATAGAAGAATGCCCTTTTTTTCAATCTTTCTATAGTATTTGATATATTTTTTTAGCCCTAATGTTTAATCTGTCACATAAGCACAGATTTTGTAGCATTGGACTGGTCCCTAGAGATCATCTAATGAAGTCCCTTACTTTACAGATAAGGATATTGGGGCCTAGAAATGGGGAAGGACAGCCCAACACAACAGCTGGGATGGGGACTCAGGGCTCCCCAACACCCAGCTCAGTTTTCTCTCTACCCCATTAGATGCCTCAGGTCTAAGATTGTCTCCCTCTCAACTTGGTGTGTTAGTGTTTTTCCCCCTTTTGTGAACTAAGGCAGCCTTGAGCACATTAAATACAACTATCACCATCAAGCCAATCTCTTCCCATTTTTATCACTGTGCAGGCAGCTGACTTTTATGTAACTCCAATGAGTGTGTGTTATCCTTGTGTTTTGTAATGTTTACAGAACCTTGCTTCATAAACTCACTACCAGGAAACAGTTTCTCATTGTGCTACTCTACCATGATGGCTTAGCCCATTACACATTATTAGACACTCAAAATCAACAGGCACTTGAAGTAAATGCACCAAGTTGTTATCAATGCTAAGTGACCTTTGAACGAGTAGGACTGGGTATTGGAGGGGGGTAGAGAGGTAAGTTTCATTTTCTACTTTGTGCCTTTTTGCTCACTGGGGATTTTTATAATGATGCTTTATTTTTCTTATAAAAATAATTTTATCCCAACCAGTTTTGCTCAGTGGTTGAGTGTTGACCTATGAACCAGGAGGTCATGGTTCTATTCCTTGTCAGGGCACATGCCCAGGTTGCAGGCTCAATCCCCAGTAGGACAGCCGATAGATGATTCTCTCATCATTGATGTTTCCATCTCTCTTTCCCTCTCCTTCCCTTTCTTTAAAATCAATAAAAAATGTATTAAAATAATAATAATTTTAACTGTGTGTTAGGCATTGGAGATTTTCCAGTTTTTCTTCTATAAAGAACTTACGTGTCTATTCATGTTGCCAGATTACATTCCTGAAGGGAATAACCCAATTATTGTGCCCACTATCAATGTAGAAGCATACTATTCCCTCCCTACAAACACACAAGCCTTCTGACATCAGCTTTAATCATTCTTATTCACCTTGCAACCTTAAAATCTTTTGGATATGCATTTTTCATTGATAGTAAAACTCTGCAATGTCTTTTTGTCATCAAAAGTTCATTTCCTACTATGGTGAAAAAAGTACATCAGATAGACCTATGATCAAAACTTCATTTTGCTGCTTAAACAAAAAGACTTTGGACATATTGCCCAACTTCTCTGAGCCTCAAGATTCCTCATCTGTAAAACTAGAGGCCCAGTGCACAAAATTCGTGCACTGGGGGTGGGGGAACCTTCAGCTGGTCCAGGGCCCTCGTGCCTGCTTGCTGCTCTCTACCGCTCAACTCACTGCTCCTTAGTGCCACTGCAAAGGCTCCTGCCACCGCTGCTGCACTTGCCAGCCTTGAGCCCAGCTTCTGGCTAAGCGGCGCTCCCCCTATGGGAGCACACTGACCACCAGGAGGCAGCTCCTATGTTCAGTGTCTGTCCCCTGGTGGTCAGTTCATAGCGACCAGCATTCCACCATTTGGTCAATTTGCATATTAGGGTTTTATTATATAGGATAGGATATTGAATGTTAACTGTAAATGAAAAATAAAATTTAAAAAAGAACCAAATAAAATTTTAGAGCTGAAAAAATTTTAATATATATGTATTTTTAATTCTCACCTGAGGATGTTTTTAAAATTGATTTTTAGAGAGAGAAACATCCATGTGACAGAGAAATACCAGTAGGCTGCCTCTGCACCTGCTGACCCACCGGGATCTAACCTAAACCTAAGTATGTGCCCTAACCTAGAATCCAACAGGAAATCCTTTGGTGTACAGGTTGAGACTCCAACCAATTGAGCCACCTGGCCGGGGCAGATCTGAAAAAAATTTTTTACTGTATCTCCAGGCCCTGGTCAGTGTGAATCAGTAGTTAGAGTGTCCTCCCACGCACCAAAGGGCCATGGGTTTGATTCCAGGTGAGGGCACATGCACAGATTGTGGGTTCCATCCCTGTCGGATAGCTTGGGCAACTGATCAATGTTTCTCTTTCTCTTTCCTTCTCCCTTCCTCTCTCTCTACAATCAATGAAAAGAACATATCCTTAGAGGAAGACTTAAAAAGAAAAAAAAAATGCTGGTTTGGTTCAGTGGCTAGTGCTTCTGCAGGCGGACTGAAGGGTACCGGCTGGATTCCGATCAAGGGCACGTACCTGGGTTGCAGGCTCAATCCCGGGCCCCGGTCAGGGATTCAGCAGGAGGCAACCAATTGAAGTCTCTCCCATTCGTTTTATGTCTTTCTCCCTCCCTTCCACTCTCTCTGAAAAAAAAAAATCAATGCAAAAATGTCCTCAGGTGAGGATTAACACAAACAAACAAACAAACACCCATCCGCAGTGTGATTATTGATGGAGCATGTGAAGTATTTGTTGAATGAGCCGGAAGGGATGGGACTCTGCTTTCTAACCGTTTTAGCAACTCTGCAAGCCAGAGGGTTTACTTTTTATTTTCATTTTTATTGATTGATTATTTTAGAGAGAGGAAGGGAGCGAGAGACACCAGTGTGTTGTTCCGCTTACCATGCTC